CCTGCAATGCTGTCCTGCCCACTGCTGCATCATCCCTCAGCCTGCAACACTGTCCTGCCCACTGCTGCATCATCCCTGGCCTGCTGCGCTATGGCATGGTGACTTGCAATAGTATGCACCAACAACCAGGTGGCTGCCCTGCAGGTATCTGCAATGGGCCCCTGGGCCACAAAGGCAGCAGAATAAGCTTGGACCCTAGTTGAATGGGCCGTGATAGGAGGGGCTGGAACATGCACCAGTTCATAACACACTCTGATGCAGGAACTAGTCCAGGACAAAATATGCTGGACTGACACTAGGCTCATCGTCCTGTCAGCTATGGATCCAAATAACTGGGGGGGACTTACAAAAGGGTTTTGTTCTATTCAAATAAAAAACACAAATCTCATCTAACATTTACGGTGTGTAGATCCTGCTCTGTCCCCAAATCATGAGGTTTCGTGTAAAACACAGGTAGGAATATATCCTGATTAACATGAAAATGAGACACCACCTTGGGCAAAAACACAAGGTGGAGGAAAAGCCTAACCTTGTCCTTAAAAAAGACCATGTATGGAGGGCCCATGGTTAAAGCTTGCATCTCTGAAACCCACTTATCGGAGGTAACGGCTAAGAGGAAGGACACCTTTCAGGACAGGAGGAGATGAGAGCATGTCACCAGCAGCTTGAAGGGAGGTGCCATGAGTCTAGTGGAGGAGACTAAGGGGGGATATGATAGAGGTCTATAAAATCATGACTGGGGTGGAAAAAGTGAATAAGGAAAAGTTATTTACTTATTCCCACAATAGGAACTAGGGGTCACCAAATGAAATGAATAGCCAGCAGGTTCAAAACATACAAAAGGAAGTGTTCTTCACTTAGCGCACAGTCAACCTGTGGAAATCCTTGCCAGAGAAGTGGTGAAGGCTATGACTTTAATTGAGTTCAAAAAAGGGCTAGATAGATTCATGGAGGTTAGGTCCATCAATGGCTATTAGCCAGAATGGGTGGGAATAGTGTCCTTAGCCTCTGTTTGTCTGGAAATGGGTGACAGAAGAGGGATTATGTGAGAATTACCTGTTGTGTTTCCTCCCTCTGGGTCATCTGATATTGGCCACTGTCGGCAGACAGGTGCTGGGCCACATGGAACTTTGGTCTGATCCAGTATGGCCATTCTTATGTTCTTAGTGAGCACCAAGTTAAGGTCTGAGGAAGCAGGGGCTGACGCACCTGAGGGTATACCCTGTCCAACCCTTAAGGAAGTGATGCACCATAGGGTCTGCAAAAGCAGACTTACTCCAAGACCCCAAGTGGAAAGCCAAAATGGCTGCTGGGTGCACCCTGAGGAAGGGGTAAGGCTCTGGGTTTTAAGGTCCAGGAGGCAATCTAAGATAGCTGGGATTGGAGCTTCCGTGGGAAGAAAACCTCTTCCCCTTTGACCCAAATATGAAGCACTTCTACTAGGGCCTCCTATCTGGCAAAGTGGAAGGTTTACAACTCCCCAAGAGAACAGCTTGAAGTCGCTCCAAACACTGCCTCTCCAGGGTAGTAAGCCACGGAGCTTCCACAACCATGAGGTGCAGGGATCATACGTTCGGATGCCAAAACCTGCCAACTCCTGAGAGATCAGGTCCGGATACAGGGGAAGGGCCGGGGGAGCTCCACCGAGAGGTCGAGCAGGGCTAGCAACCCTGCTGGTGAGGCTATGCTGGGACTATTAGGATCACAGAATCTCTGAACTTCCTGATCTTGGGAATTACCCTGTGAATCAGAGGGAATGCAGGGAAGGCATACAGCAGGACTGGGGGCCAGGGAATCAACAGGGCATTTCCCATGGACCCCAGGTTGTGGTTGAAGAGAGGGCAAAAGCAGGGACACTTCCTGTTGGTGCAGGTTGGGAACAGGTCCAGGTGGGGAAGCCCCAACTTGCGGAAGATGGACAGAGCCACGTTCACCCAGAGGGACCACTTGTGCCCCTCAAAAGGACCTGCTGAGGTGATCCACCAACGCATTCTGGGCTCCAGGGACGTAAGAGGCCATGGGGTGAATGCTGTGAGTGACACTGAACTCCCACAGGAGAAGGGCTTCCTGGCACAGGGGATAAGAGCGAGCACCACCCTGTCTGTTTATATAAAACATTGCTACCCACGTTGTCCATCAAGATCAAAATGACCCTGTTTCAGAGCTGTGGCAGAAAAACACCACACACGAGGCAAATAGCCCTCAACTCCCTGAGATAGATATGAAGGGAGAGATCTGCAGGAGACCACATACCTTGAGTCTGTAATTCTTGAGGTGGGCTTCCCAGCTTGTATCAAAGGCATCTGTCACCAACTGGCTGGATGGGGAAGGGCTGACAAACGGTGTTCCCTCGCAGATCACCTCCTTGCCGTCAATTGGTTGGAACACTGGGTTGTGGACCCATGCCAGCCACAACTGGAGCAGTCACATCCTGAGCTTGGCGTGTTGCACCACATAGGTGCATGCTGCCATACATCCCAGCAGCCTCATTCAACACTGAGCCATAGTGGTGGGAAATGACCGGAGCCTCAGCATGGCCTCTTGTATCACCTGAAAGTAGGTCAAGTCCAAGTGAGTCCCCCACAAATCCTTGGTGGGGGTCAGAGTGGATTTGTCCTCATTTAGGATGAGGCCCTATGTGAGAAAGGTCTTCCTGACGAGGGATGTGTGGTCCAAAACCTGGAAGAGCCCTTTCTGAGCCAATCATCCAAGTACATGTAGACTTGGACCCAGCTTTTCCTCAGAAACATGGCAATGACTGCCATACATTTTGTGAACACCCTGAAGGCTGTAGAAAGGCTGTGATGGACTAGGCCAGGTCTGGGCATGGCTGAGGGCATCAGCTCAGGGTGAATTGCTCAAAACTAGGGCTACTTACAGCCCTCAACTGGAGACCTTTCCCAAATAGGCCACAAACCAGTCACAGAGCGCTCCAGGCAGAACAGCATCTCGAGGATGACAAGGTCCTGGAGGATCCTGGTGTCTCCCACTCTGAGGACAGTGCGCTGCTGCGGGATGTCGGTGCCGTGTTCACGGCCGGTGCCAGGTGGAGTGCAGACTCCATCAGGAGTGTCTTCAGGTGCAAGTCTCTCTCACGCTGTATCCGGGGTTTAAAACTGCAGCAGATCTTGCAATTTGCGGGCACATGAGCTTCACCCAGACTCTTCAAGCACAAATTGTGCGGATACCCACAGGGCATAGGCTTAGAACAGTCCACGCAGGGCTCAAAGCCATGCAGTCCTGGCATGCCCCAGGGACGAGATGGGAAGGGGATGCCACAGGCAAACCCCGAACCAACAAGAATGGGAATCCTGAACCAACAAGAGGACTAACTAGAAAAGGAAAAGGATAACTTAACAACAGACTGAAGGGGAAAGCAACTTGAAGAACAATGGGACTCAATTAGGTGCTAACTAACTGTGAATACCGCTGGAATCACACTTGCAAGAAAGTGAGATAGGAGCTCCAACAACCCTCAAGGGTGGTAAGAAGGAACTGAGGGGGTGGAGGGCCAGCAGCACCAATCCAAGGGTTGCTGGCCCAACCAAAAACTCTCACTCTGAGCACGCAGCATGCATACACCCAAGTGGAATGGACATGAGCAAGCACTTTCAGTTATTATCCATGATGACCCCCAATTCATTTTCAAGGTCACTGCTTCCCAGGATAGAGCCCCCCTTCTGTACGTATGGCCTGCATTCTTTGTTCCTGTGTTCCATTACATCCTACATTCAGGATGGACCAAAATGTCTGTTGTTTGCTTACACCCAGCTTACCAGGTGATACAGATTCCTATGTATCAGTGACCTGTCCTCTTCATTTTTTTACTACTCTTCCAACTTATGTCATTGGCAAACTTTCAGCTATCATTTTGTTTTCTTTTAAGCCATTGGTAAAAAAAATTAAGTCGTGTAAGGTCAGGAGCAGCAGGACCCCCTTGAAAAACTTCTGCTTGATGATGATTCCCCATTTACAATTACATTTTGAAACCTACCACTTAGCCAGTTTTAAAAGGAAACTTAGATGAGCACTAACCGAAGATGGAAGAAATACTTAATTATTGGAGTCAAGAATATTGAATTTTGGGCTTTATAATAATTTTGTTAAAAACTGGTCTCTGCACTAGTACTTAGGAAAGATTAAGACAGTGCTTATTTGTGTCAGGGCTTGCTAGGGCTGAACCTCAGCCCCACTAGGCTTCCCAGTATATTACCTTAGCACCTCCAGGCTTGCCCTGTCAGTTCTGAAAGTAAAAAAATTGCTTGAGTCCCAGCATCTCTTTCATTACAAATTATGCACTGGATTAAGAGCATGAGAAATTTCAATGTTGTAAACCAAACCATTTATTTCAGTTCTACTTCTAGTTAGATGCTTCCCACATATGTTCATTGTCCTGCCACGCCACTTGATTCTGTTTCAAACATTTGATTTTTTTAAGATTATAATATTTGATGAGGCAGTATACAGCTTTTATTAGCATAGCTGGATTGTTGTGTCGCTTGTGAGTAATGCAGATCATCTTAGATGAATGGTAATGAAACCTTTACAGCCTGCCAGCTTTGATTCTAAATATGCCATATGTGTCATAGAAAAACTAAGAACATTTTAAAATGTAGTTGGTATTATTTCTTGTATGCCTCTAGCAGTAAAGTCAGGAACCTTCATTATCATGAGCCCAGCCGAAGAGGACAGAAATTTCAATAAAAGTAAAATCTCTAATATAATGCTTGGTCCCTAAAAATGTCATTAAGGGCTCTTTCAGAGCTACAGGTGAGTGCTGGGTTCTATGGGAAACAGCACAAATCTCCCACTTGTAGACCTTTGTAAACAGGAAATATTAGTGTAACAGCTCAACTTTGTAAATCTAGAAATCTGTAAATGTTGCCAGTCAGAGACTGTGGGCAAGGATAATTTTGGGAGGGAAATTGTCCATTTGAGAGAGGAAGAATGTCCCAGTGGTTAGAGCACTGGCAGAGGATGTGAGTTCAATTCCCAGCTCTGCCATGGCTGGTGGTAAGTCACTTAGCCTGTCTAGCTATGTCTACTCTGCAATTAAAAAAAAAACAAAAAAAAACAGAATAGGATATTTTGTTCTTGCATACCTAGAACTTGTAGAATTTGATGTTTGAAACATAGCAGCACTTTGATTGGATGCCAAGGGAGCACTCCACTCTCACAGTCAGTTTGCATGCCCTTGCTTTATGTGAGTGTCCCTGGCCTCTTTCTGGAAATAGGTGACAAGGGAGGGATCACGTGAGGATTACCTGTTGTGTTCCCTCCCTGTGGGGCATCCAGTATTGGCCACTGTCAGCAGACAGGATACTAGGCTAGATGGACTGTTGGTCTGACCCAGTATGGCCGTTCTTATGTTCTTATACCAGTAGGAAAAAAACTACCCAGCTGGAAACCAGTGGAATATGGCTACCTTGCATATAGGCAACAGTAAACAGAATGTGGCACGGGCCATTACAGGGAACCCTGGTGGGCTGCAGCAGGTTGCCCACCACATTAAAGAGTGTGAAGCACTTTGGAGCCTACTGATGAAAAACACTAAGAAATAGGCATGATTATTATTTGCGGAGGAAGAAACAGTATTCCAGGCGACTGATATTGTTTTTTAAAGGCAACTGCGCCCTGAGGTTGGTGATGTGCTGTAAATCTTGGAGAAAGATTAGTAGGCAGAGGACAAGTAAGTTGGTTAAATGTATACAATATGTGTCTCATAGCACCAGTTTATCACATGACAGTCATCTCCTTAGAGCAGATATGTGTCACCTCTGGCCTAAGACTGAACTATTAAATGGTGAAATCAAAATTAATAGAAATTTTTAAAAAGATTAGTTCCGCTTCACTCAGAGGCCGTTCCTGTGCGCCTATCATCTACCAAGGATGGATAGCTGCTCCCAAAATTCTTTCCCATGACCTCCTACCTGAGATACATGGATGCCACCTCTAAGAGAGAGAGAGAGAGAAGTTCTGTCTTCATGGTCTAGTCACTCCTTGGTCTTTCACCTGAGAATGTCCACAGTGTTGATTAGTGTCAATGATGTGGTTTTTGCAATGTGAGCAGAAAA